CCGCCCCCTCCCTGCCTCTGCCCTTGTCCCTGGTGGCCCGTGAGAGCAGGTGCAGGGCGCTCTGCATAAGCAAAAGCCACCTTGTTCTTAGAATGGTCGCAGAAGCTGCGGTACCTGGCCGGCTCAGCACGCAGCTCTTGATCTCAGGGTTGTGAGTTCGAGCCCCGTGCTGGGTATAGAGGTCACTTAAAAAAATTAACTTAAAAAATAAATAATAAAACTAAACAAGTAAATGTTTTGGAGGAAGGAAGCCCCCACAGCCCTCCTCATGCTAAGTACAGTGGTTTGCAGCTGGTCCCCTGGTGCGGGCTCCCAGGCCGCTCGGCAGGGCCCTGCGTCATCCAGCCTTATGGCTTTTGTCCACCGCAGTGACCGATTAGCGCTGCTCCAGGTCCGGGCCATTCTCCAGCAGCTGGGCCTGAACAGCACCTGCGACGACAGTATCCTGGTCAAGACCGTGTGCGGGGTGGTGTCCAAGAGGGCTGCGCAGCTGTGTGGGGCGGGCATGGCTGCCGTGGTGGATAAGATCCGTGAGAACAGAGGGCTGGACCACCTCAACGTGACTGTGGGTGTGGACGGAACGCTCTACAAGCTTCATCCACAGTGAGTGGGGCCTCTGCTTGGGTGGTCGGGGCGTCCTGTGCTGCTGAGGTCCCTTGATGGGTTATGGACCCCTAGGATGTAAGTCCTCGCCTGCCCCCTGGGGACAGTTCCTCACCAGGACACAGCCGACCCAAGGCTGTGCATTCAGGGACCGGGCCCTGTCTGGTAGCAGCTGACGAGCGGCTCCGAAGCTTGTTTTTGTTTTTTTTTTTTAAGATTTTATTTATTTGACAGAGAGAGATCACAAGTAGGCAGCGAGGCAGGCAGAGGGGGAGGGGAAGCAGGCTCCCTGCTGAGCAGAGAGCCTGATGTGGGGCTTGATCCCAGGACCCCGGGATCACGACCTGAGCCGAAGGCAGAGGCTTAACCCACTGAGCCACCCAGGCGCCCCGAGTGGCTCCGAAGTTTAACTGAGATCCTTGGAGAGGAGTGGCTTTGCTTGGTTCAGCTTACACTGGTGGCATAGATTTCCCTCTCCCCACTTCTCCTGTGACCCCCTCAGGTCAGGCAGCGTCAGAGGGGAGGGTGGGTGTGGCCTTACCCATCGGCCTGGGTAGCTGTAGCACGGCCAGGAGGCTGAGTTTGGTAAGCGGGGAGAGGCAGTGGGGGTGGAGGGAGGAGGTCTTGTTCACCTGCTGGATTAGTTTCTCAAGAGGCTTGCAAGGCAGGAAGAGGAGCGGGGAGGTGCCTCCTTATGGTCAAGGGTCTGACGCTCTGTGCTTGGCCCCGCCTGCTCTTTGATTGACCACATATCCCAAAGCTTGGCTCTTCTGAATGGAGTGACCCTACTGTTGTCTAAACTGCGGTGCTTTTGCCAGTGAAGAGACTGCTGCTACTAACTACACTGGGACCGTCCCTGGTAATTGGGGCCATAATGTCACTCTCCTTAAAAGCAGCCTCGCCCAAACCAACGTGGGCATATGCTGCTTAGCTCATGGCCTTGGCTGGGGAGAGAGCCAACCGCTCTGTCTGCCCCTCCACCTTCACAGCTGTCCTCTGTGTCCCCTGGGGCAGCACACCGGTGGGGCTTAGAGCTAGGTTTTGGAGCCATACGCTCTTGGCTGTGATCCCCGCACCATCATTTGGAAGCCATGCTCAAGTGCCCCATGGCCAAGTGTCCTTGTCCTCATGGCCGATGGCCACGGGCAGGGCTGGAAGGTAGTATAGAAGTGTTGGGGGGAGGCCCTCGTAGGGCTCCGACAGCGGGCAGGCAGGCCCACCCTTGAGAGCTCCATTGGTCTTTGCTGCTTCAGCCTAGCTGTGTCTTACTGCCCAAAACAGTGTGGGAACCCAGAGTCACCTGTCATTGAGGGTCTCTGTCACTGGGGGCCTGCCGCTCTTGGCTTGGAGGCCAGGTGTTGGGCCATGGACAGTGATGGGCTGGGGACCTCGAGGGGCCACAGCTGAACTGACCCAGCGCTGGGCCACACGCAGGCGCTGGCACCCTTCTCCATATCCTGTTCCCCAGATGCCTTGGGCTTGGGGGATGGCTGTGTCTGAGCACGTTATTCCTGGCCTGGCCCTGATGAGCCTTCTGGTCACTACTGTTTGGATTCTCAGCTGTTCCTCCCTGCTGGAAACTGAGGTTGTAGGATCAGGGCAGATCCAGTGTCCCCCAAACCCTTCTCTAGAAGCCCCTCCCGTCTCGATTGTCCCATCATTAGGGTCCTGAGGCATCCTCGCGTGGGCCCATCATGTCTACGCATCTTCTCCACTTACCTTCCTCTGTGTGTTTTCTCTCTTAGCTTCTCCAGAATCATGTACCAAACCGTGAAGGAACTGTCACCAAAATGTAACGTGTCCTTCCTCCTGTCTGAAGACGGGAGCGGCAAGGGGGCTGCCCTCATCACGGCAGTGGGCGTCCGGCTCCGGGAAGAAACGAGCAGCTAAGGGTCCCAGTCCCCCGGCCTGCTGCCCCTCCGGCACGTCTCTCTTCGGGCGGCCACCCCTGTCCCTCCCAGCGAGCTGGGCCGGGAGCCACCGGCGCCAGAGCCTGCCATCGCCACATTGGGGAGGGGACACAAGCCAACTAAGGCGCATAACGTAGGGTACAAAATAGAGCGTGTGCTATTGATAATCTCTCCCCACTCCGGCCCCCTCCTCACCCGCCCTGCCACTCTGCATGATCCGATTTCAGCCCGGTTGTCTGCTCCCCACGTGTGAAGTTTAGTGGCGCCCATTTCCAGTTTCTGCATTCGTCCGACAGTTATTTATTGGCCCAAGATGAAAAGTCATGCCATCTTACAGGCCTTCTGGGCCTCCGCAGCCCGTCCTTGGGGACTCATACCCCGTGTGAAATGTATTCTCACCAGCAGACACTGCCGGGACTCCTCCTCCCAGGGGCATCTGAGCGGCTTCCTCCCGTCCCAGCCCCCACTGCTGTCTGGCATCCCGAGGTTCCCATCGAGACGTGTCCATGCCACTGAATCGTATGTCCGTGGAACTGGTCAGAGCCACGTTGTGACGGTCTTGCCTTCTGTCTGTCTTGGGGGTGGGAGGGGAAGTGGGCAGTTCTGCGGGAAAGTGTCTTGTCTCCATTTGGGTAAAAGGAACGAAACCAACAAAACAGTGCCCTCATTGGAATTCCCCATTGCTTTTGTGAACCATGTTGTATGACCTAGTAAACTTTGTACCAATTCAAAGACCCTGAGTGATACTTGCTGGCTGGAGGTGGGGAGGCCATGCGGGGATGCCAAGAAAACTGAGCCCTGGGGATCCTAGGTTGCGGGGGCAGGGGGAGTGCTTCAGCCCCTGGCCTTCGTTGAGTACTGTAACTTCTCTGTTCTCTGCAGAGTGTCACCGAGCTAGCGTCTGCCCTTGTTTTCCAGCCCCTGCCTGGCCAGTTCCCTGCTATAGCCCCCGGGTCCCACCCCCTGCACCTTTAAGAAGGTAAAGTGGTGGGAGGTCTCTGGGCTCCCAGGGGCTGTTTGGATTTAATGAGAGGAGAGTGGGCACTGGCTATCCCCAGGTAGACCCCACCCTTCATCACCTTCTGCCAACTCCCAAGGGACCAGAGGGTGTAGACCCCCACTCTAAGGCAGATGAAGTCTCAGGCAGCCCAGGGAGCAGGTTGTCTGCACTGTCCTCCTCTCCCCTTCGAATGAATCCCTTCTGTAGGAAACTGTGCCTCCCCTGACCCTTTAGTCCCTCTCCCACCTTAACCTTGAGGCTGCCATTCCACCCCACAGCCCGCCAGTGGATCCCACATCGGCCCACTTCCCATGCCCCGTGCGGTTTAAGGCCAGAGTCCCTTTATTGGGCACCATGATCTCTGTGGGGGGCGCACCTAGCATTAAACTCTCTTGCTGTGCATTTACGGTGTCACGTGGTTCTTCTGGAGAGGCAATGGGGCGTGCGAGGTGAGGCAGCAGGTGGGGAGAAGTGTGTCTTTGGGGTGCACTGCGCCAGGCCTGGAGCTCTGCTGGAGTCGCTTCCTGCCTGCTACCTTCTTGGGGCTGGAGTGAGGGTGACCACTGCTGCTTGCGCCCTGGAGGCATCTGTGTAGCATGGCTGACTTGGTGGGGATAAAATGCAGCCTGCTGGTTCTTCAGCACTCCACGCTAGTTTACAGGCCTCACTTCAGTCTTCCTCACAGCATCCCTGTGAGGCAGTTTTGCCCCTGGGAGTAGAAGAGGCGGAGAGTCAGAGTGACTTGCCCCAGGCAACACAGCCAAGACTCCTTTTGACTCTTTATCCACCATCTACACTGAGCTGGGTCTGAGTTCAGATGCCGAAGCAGAGAAGCCCCAGGTCAACTCACAGCTTTCCAAAATAAGCCGCTCCCTCCCCGTGTCTTTGGCCTGATAAATCAGTATCATGGCTGGGTGCTGTCCACAGCTGTGTTCTGTTTGGTTTAACCAATAGTTATACAAATGTGAGCCAAATGTAACAAGTCTGGAAGTCTCACAGATTTGGATTTCTGGTATGTCTGAAAGGATCCGGAAGATGTGGCAACAGTGTGTGCCCATTACCTCATGACAACCTTTGTCCAGAGCTGGTCAGCTGCTGTCCCCTTTAGATGCATACGCCCTCCACTTCGCACCGTTCCCTGTTACCCCAGCGCTGGAAGTCACTCCTTGAGTTGTATGCCCCAGGAAGGCATCTGAGCTTGTGACTCCTGGATTAGATAACTGTTCGCTCACACTGTCTTCCTGGACTGTTACTGGCTGATGTGAAGCCCCATCAGAGAGGGGGCTGGGCCCTCTTAGAGTTCGAATCTACTTGCTGCGCTCCTGACCCCATCTTGTTTTTCCGCTGGTGTACTGAAGGCTGGAGGATGGGTCAGGCTTTCAGATCTGGACCTCTCCACTGGCTACTTCTCCAAGGGTGCCAGGCACAAGGCTTCAGCGTTCAGCAGGTACCCCATGTTGGGGACCCCTGGCCTGCCCATTGGTAGCCTAAGAGGGGGCAGTATCCCCAGCCATGAAAAAAGTCTCTTTAGTGTGACACCGGTTGGCCCTCATAGAAAGGGATGGAGTGTGGGTCAGCTCAAGCTTATCCTCCTTAATTGGTGTGACCCAGGGGCAGCAGCGGAAAGCAAGCCGGAATCCAGAGCGAAACCTAGGAGACAGGGGGTCACCTTGAGCAGAGGGGTGAGGGGGACAGTCTGGAGAAGCCCATCTCCCCTCCAGAGGAAAGTCATCCTCTCACCCCTGTCTGTCATAGTTCACTGTTCCTGAGTGGATTTGAGTTTTGGAAACGCCCAGAAAGAATCTGGAGCTAAATCTAATGAGTGAAGCGGGTGATTAAGCCTAATTAGACCATTTGTTATCACAGACAGAAAGAAACCAAATACAACTTAAAGAAATAACAGATTTTCTTGTTTGACTTGTTCCTCGGCTTCTAAAGGAGTATTCTAGAGGCTCAAGAAGTTTGAGCTTTGGCCGTGTTGGGCAGAGTAAGGATGCTCTCCCAAGGGGGCTGCTTTGAGGGAAATCATGCACAGGCAACGACTACATTTTGGTATATTTGCTAGCTCTCCCCATGGCTGGACTAAAGGTAAATTAGAAGGGGAGGCAGATGGCAGTGGAGGAAATGGCCTGGGAGAAACAGAACACTGGCTTGTCAGAGAGAAGCAGAGATCAATGGGACCGTTGGTGACAGCCACTTGACTGTTCCCAGGGGACAGAGGCTCCATGTTCCAGAAGAGCAGCCCTGACTTTGGTTCCTCACCTTGCAGCTCTACAAGATTCCACGGTGTGGCCCAACAAATGCCTCTCTTGTGGGTGCTTCACGGCCTCTGCTGTTCCCTCTGCTGGATGCCTTTCCCTACACAGCTGCAGGGCCCACTCAATCCTCATCTGTGCTCAAAAGAATCCTCAAGAAGGCCAACCCTGGCCATGCTATAAAAGTGCTTCCCCTGTGCCGCCTCCTTCCCCAGCACCTCCTGTCCTCCCATCCCCAGCTCTGGTGTTCCTTTTTTCCGTAGAACTTACGCCTAATACACTATGTGGTTCATCCACTTGGTGGATTCTGGAATTATTTCACAGACTCTCAGACTCTCAGGGACTGCGTCACTGGGTAACGGGAGAGAGCCCATGCACAGACAGGGAGTGCTGGGGGCCCCTCCCTGATTATGCCAGTTCCTGGGTCCAAGTTCTCCTAGAAACTATATCAAGAGAAAGGTGTGATGTGGGGTCAAGGTTACAGGCCTTGGAGATCCATGGAATCCTGGTTCCACTGCTTGCCGTATGAGTTTAGGAGTGTTCCTTTCTGGGGCTCAGTTTCCTCAACTGTAAAAAGGGAGAACACCTCCCTTCCTCCTATCATCTTCTTACCTCTCAGGAGACAATGGAAGGTTCTAGCACACATTAAACACTCAAAAAAAAAAAAAAAAAATCACAATTCTCTCACTTCCTCCTGGCCTGGCCCAGGTGGCTGGAATATCTGGGCAACAAAGATCCTAACGGCATGATGAGTGGCCTGGACATGTGGGCAGGCGGGTGATAAAAGGCTTGAACACAGAGGCCCACGGCCAACCTTATCCACATGGCTGTCTTGTAGAGACCAGGACTGTGTCCACCTCTCATCTCCTCTTAACCTGACCCCCCTTTGGGTTTCCTGAAGCCTTCCACCTCTCTAGGTGCCCCAGAGCAAATGCCAGCCCCTCTGGGGGAATGCTGATTCTCCAGAAGTATGGGGCTGGGACAACCAGGTATGTCTGAGGAGTGACAGCTTGGTTCCTTCTTCCCTGACTGTCTCTGCCAAGGTCACACTCCTCAGCTGTCCCAGAAATCCCCCTGGCAGCAGGAAATGCCCTCTGATCTCCTGAAGGTCAAGGAAATGTCTCATTGTGGGAAGGTCCTAAACATGTCAGGACAGAAGAAGTCCCGCCCTCCTTTACCAGGCTCCTTCCTTTCTCCCTCTTTGTCTGTCATATGGCCTCTCTTTGACCCTGTTCCTCCCTCCATCTCTCTGTCCCTCCCTTCTCTCTTCTCCTGGCCCCAGATGTAGGCCCTGGAGAGAGGGCAGGAGCAGATGCATGGTGACAGCTATGGGCTGGGCAACGGGACAAGGCTTTGGGGAGGAGGAGGGGGCTCGAGCTGGGCCCCCGACGGGAGTGAGGATTGTGCTGTGGGCTCAGTATGAGGACTGCAACCCACGTGGGGGTGGAGGGCACAGGCTCACGCTGTGACAGGGAGCCCAGCTGGGGCCAGGCCGCGGGTCCCTGAGGGCTGAGGAGAGGGGGGCTGGGATGAGGGCTTACCTGTGGTTGAGGCAACAGTAAATGATGGGATTGTACATGGTGGAGCTCATGGCCAGCCAGAAGAGCGCCAGGTACACCTGCTGGATGAACTTGTGGTAGTAGATGTCCTCTTGGAAGTTGCCCAGGATGAAGTAGAAGTGGTAGGGAAGCCAGCAGATAGCAAACGTCACCACCACCAGCACCATGGTCTTCACGAACTGGGCCGGGAGAGGCTCAGGTCACACCTCAGCCTGGAAGCAGCACCCCCTCCAACCTCCAAGAGTGGCGGCAGGATGCCCCTCATCCCTGGGAAGCCCTCAGTCTCCTGGAGCATTCACGGTCTTGACCCCTGGGCCCTACACCTCTGTCCGAACTGTTGTTCTTTCTTTCACATCCTTACTCCTTGAAGCCCAGCTTGGGGCTGCCTCATCTAGCTGGTGTCCCAGACTCCTTCCCTCAGAGCAGCTCCTCTCCCTGCAGAGTGGGTGAGCTCCTAACCCAATCCTTGGGGGATCCCCTATGCCAGCTATGGTTCTCAGGTGCCCCTCTCTCCGTCTGTCATAGCCCTTCTATCCATAGGTAGTAAGACTCTAGTTGGGCATCCCGGCCTCTGCCCAGGAGCCAGCTTCCTGACCTTTCCCCATTCAAGCCTGGTCTCTGCAGGCCCTCTGGAGTGTGGCCCAGTACGCTGTGAGTAATGGAGGGCAAGCCAGTGATGGCAAGTGGAGACCAGTTCATCGTGAGGAGGGACACTCAGATGGTGTCCCATGTCTGCCTTCTTCCCTGAATTGCCTTATGAAAAATGCCCAGTAGCAGACGTGAAGCCAAGACGGGAACCTCATACTTGAGATTAACCATTACCTTCCCTGGACTCCTAACAGGAAGGGCACGGCAAAGATAAGCTTCCCCAAGAAGAGAGTAGAGGAGGTCTGAATCATAGAATGCTCTATCGGGACCCTTGGAGGGCCCCAATGGCCGGGAGGAGGGAGGACACTGGCACTTGGGTTGGAAATCGAAGGCAGACTGCGTGCAGCTGGACTCCACGGATGGGAGGTGTGCATTCCAGCATTTGAGAATTCTCTTGTGATTCCCGATGGAAGCCTCCCGGAGTTCTGTGGGGCTTCTTAAATTCAACATTCCAATTACGCAACTTGTCTAAGATTTTGAGATTCAGTCATTCTAAGATTCTTGAGAGTACCTGCAATTCTGTGGGGCTTTAGGATTCTCAAAACATTCTGGGGGAGTTCCTTCAATTTCGCATTTGGCCAAGGGCTAAAGTGTGTCCTCCTGGGAAGAACTAACTCAGGCTCTGGCAGGGGCTTGGCACTGGGGGAAGTTGGGATGGATCCTGTGCTCAAGGGCACCGCCAGAGGGGCGGGCTCCGAGCCCCGAAGGGCGGTGCCCTGAGGCGGGCCCCGGACTGACCCCGCCCCCCTCCGAGCCCCGCCCCCGGCGCGCACCTTCCTCTTGGCCCGCAGGTGGCGCAGGCCGGCGCCGTGCATTTGGTGCTTGGGAACCTCGCGTCTCCAGAGCTTGAGGCCGATGACACTGTAGGTGAGGAGCATCACCACGAGAGGCAGCACGTAGATAAGGACGATCACCGTGAGGTGATACCTGGAGGGAAAGGCTAGGGCCTGGGCACGGGACGGCCAGGGAGCGACTTCTGCATCCGCCAGCGCTCAGTTTCCCTGTCCCCGCTCGCGCCCCTGAGCCAACTCTGGCCGGCCACCCCGGGCCATCTCCAAAGGCCTTGATTTAACATAAGGGGGGAGGGGGGACAATATTGGCTAGCATATATGCCCAAAAAGGGCTTCGCCTGCTGCAAAAGGGACACCGGCTTTATCTGTGTGATCCTCCAGGTGACAGACAAATACTACCGAAAAAGGAAATAAATAGGAATGAAAAAGTTAACAAAATAGTACATTTGTTTAACATTTAAAATGCCATTAAACACAAAGGAGGAAGTAAAATTACTAATTCCATTCTCACCAATATTAACAATTTGGAATATTTTCTTCCCGAGTCATATGTGTGTATGGATCTATGTACATATGCATTAGATAGATTCTATAGGCAATACATAGATTGCTGCGTCTGCCTGGATAGGTAGATTTTCTGGAGCTGATACAGTTCCATCCCCCGCAGATATCCTTATCAGGGAACAGGCCAGGGGCAAGAGTTCCAGGCCATACAGGATATGGGTCCTCTCTTCCTGCCCATCAGCATTTGGTTGGGAACACAGCTCACAGCTGCAGGCTTTCTCTCACACCACCTCAGAGCAAGAGCTCAGATCACACTGCCAGTCACTCATCTAGTCCCTGCGGAGGACACCTTGGGCTGTGTGGAGCAGTTTCGTTTCCTTTTGGAAAGACAGTATAAAGGAGATGTGTGCTGCCCATTCTGGTTTCTGAGAGATGCTGCAGCAGGGACACCTCGTGAATGGGCCTGAGACCTGCGGCCCTGTCACATGGCCTTTTTCTAGGAGGGCTGAAGTGTTCCTAAGGCCCCATGATCAGTGTGCCAGACTTGCTGGGCCCCTTTTTCAGAGGAGCTGCCACTCAGAGAGGGGGGGGAGCAGGGGGCTCCAGCAAATGTCTTCCCTAAAGCCTGGGTTGAGAATTCTGTTTGCTTGCTCTTTGGGCAAGTATGCTAATTACAAAAGGCTTGTGGGCAGGGGTGCTCCTAGATGTCCAGATCCTCATCTAGTCCGGCTGTGGAGCAGGTAAGGGCAGGGAAGGGCAGTGAATGCCAGACCTCCCTCACTTTACCTTCATTGTAAGGTCACAGAGTGTCTGAGCTAGATAGACCTTGAGGATCAGCAGGGCCACCTGCCTCAGTGTCCGGAGGGGGAAACTGAGGCTCAGAGAGGTGCAGAGTGTCTGTGACATATGAAACAGCTCCCGAGATTTAATCAACACTCAAAGGATTTCCCTATCACTGAAGGCCAGCTCTGTGAAGTCAGAACTGAGTTCTCATTCAGGCTCTCACTTCAAAGTGTGACTTCAAGGTCCGCCTGGGTGTCTCAGTCGGTTAAGCGGCAACTTTTGGCTCCGATCATGATCTCAGGGTCCTGGCTTCTCACTCAGTGGGGAGGGTGCATCTCCCCTGCCTACGGTTCCCCCTGCTTGTGCTTGCTCTCTTCCTCTCTCTCTCTATCTCTCTGTCAAATAAATAAAAATCTTTATTTAAAAAAAAAAAAAAGTGTGACCTCAGGCAAGTCTGACCTGACCCTTGGTCTCAGTTTCCCCATTTGTAAAACAAGGAGGTAATCACTAAGATCCTTCCCAAGTATGAGTGACATTCTTTCCTTGGGACATGGTTCAGTATAGGAATTCACTCTGGGCCAGGTTCCTACGCAGAAATGAGCACCAAGGGGCCCTGGGGATCATCTGGGGTCCGCCACAAATCAGGACTGCCTCCTCTCAGAGCCTGGGCTTTTTTGTATTTTGATTTTGGGGGTCTATGTGCGTTTTCCTGGACAGGGCGTTTGTAATTTCATCAGATGCCTACACACCCAGGATGGGAGATTGTGAGGATGCAGCCCCCTTCCAAATCTCAGAAGCGCCTCCACCAAAAACACATTTGCACACATAAAACCAGGCTTTCCCCATACCCTCGCAGAATTCTAGGTAACACCAAAGTATCGCCTTCCTAGCTCAACGTCTGCCCTCCTGTTTTCCCTTGGTGCCTGAATCAGGGTTGGAACTCACCATCCCTGCAAAGCTGGTGCGGGGGTCCCCAGAGTTATTTATTACTGATCCCCCTCTCAGGGAGAAAGGCCTGTAATAAGGTGGAGAAACACTGCCCCCCAGCGGTCATCCGTAAAATACTCTGCTCTCCATCCCTCCCCGAGCCTTCCCTACAAGGCCACTAGCCTTGGAGCGACCAGACCTTCGGAGCAGGGTGGGGTGCAGAGGGAGGGCAGAGACCCGGCAGGGCCCGCCCTCGAAACTCATCAGTCCCCAGGAACGGGCTTCTCCGGCTTCTTCCGTAGCACTGAAGGCCACGCAGCGGGACCCTCTTCTGGCCGGTGCTCCGGGGAGACGGAGCTGGTGTCGGGGGCGGGGGGTGGGGGTTGTGAGGGGGACGTTGGGGGAGGGGTGTTCAAGGAGGCGGGGCCTGTGTTGTTGCGGTGACCTGGCCGCATGGCGCGCACAGCGGGCACATCCTCCGGCCTCTGGCGGCTGGGCCTCTGTTGGGCGAAATCGGCCACCTCCAGGTTCGCTCTCATTTGTCCCCTGCTTAAACTACCGCATACTGGGTGCCCGTTCGGGGCCAGGCGCGGCGCTATCGGCTCAGCGGCCTGGCTCATGCTCGCAGCAGCCCCCAGCGAGTGGTCTTAGGAATCCCCACGTGAGAGGGGGGGCCAAAGTGACTACGAAGGGTCCTCCAGCCAGCAGGAGACAGAGCAGGGCTCCCAACGACTGCCTTCCAAACCTCAACCAATTCTTCACCCTCTGCTAAATGACCTAGCCGCATGCCTGGGCATCCGGAAGCCAGAACGTAGCAAACCGAGGCTCGGAGAGGAAAGGACTTACCCAGGGTTGCACGGTGGCCAGCCCAGGTCTGAGCTCTTCTGCCTGGTCCTCAGCGGGAGACAGGCACAGGCAGCTTCCAGAAAATACCTGCCCTTTCCGCCTCAATACGCTGACCCTCTGTGGCCTGAGCATGTACAGTGCCCTCCCCCAAACACACCCCCTACACAAATTTCCACACACCTGTGAGCACACCCACTTCCACGGACATGCTCCTGGACCCTCTCTCACACACGCGCACACACACGTGGGTGCATCCTGGCTGCTCAGTAGTGCCATATGCATACCCTCACCTAAGGACGTCCCTGTCCTTATCTGAGTGGTGGGGTGGTGCAGAAGGGGGGGGGCCTCCAAAATGGCTCTGCCCGGATTGAAGCCCTTGCATCACCACCTTCCAGCTGTGGGACCGTGGGCATATTACTTGGTTTCTAGTGCTTCGTTTTACTCATCTGAAAAATGGGAATCATAAGACCTGCGTGCCCCATAGTGTTAGGAGATTTGATTGGCTTCGTGTGTGTAAAGCCTGACTCTCAGGAAGGGCTAAGTGTCACTTGGTGTACGCATGGACTCACATAATCCCAAACACCCTCAAAAACGCACGAGCACCCCCAAGTGCATATGCACAAGCACGTACATTCTCAAGCCTATGCACCTGCACATACACATGCACACAGACGTGTACACACACACACTCATGCTCCCCACCCCTCAGGCCTTACAAAAGGAGCGTCTTGCGGCCGTTGTCCTCCGGCCAGACCACGACACACTTGGTGGCGCCTCGGTCCATGGTGATAGTGGAGTAGAAGCACTGGGGGAAAGCGAGGGCCAGGGCCAGGAGCCAGATGCCGGCGATCACCGCTCTGGTGCCCAGGGCCGAGAGCCGTGGCTGGAAGGGGTGGACAATGGCCACGTACCTATGAGCAGAGGGCTGTGTGAGCTATGGGCATCCTCCCATCAGAGCAACCCCCATCCCCTTCTCCAGAACCCTGTACCCCCACTCCCCTCCACCCCCCACCGCTGCTGGGGACTTGCAGAGAGCTACCCAGGCTGGTGACTCTCCCACAGCCCTAGCCCCTGAAAACCCAGCCCAGGCCCACCTCACTGGCTCCCTCTGACACGAGAGATTTGTGTGGCCACACTGGAAGTCCTCTCAGGACATTTGCCTGAAGCTCAGCCCCGCTTGTGCTCAGAGACCTCAGCAGAAGCAGGCAGTCTCCCGGACAAAGCCCAAACCAGCATCGCCCGGCTTTCTATGGTGGTGGACCTGCTCTCTGTATGCCCGGTCCTGTGCAGAAGTCAGTAACCACACGTGGCTATGAACCCCAGAAGCGTGACTAGTACAACTGAGGAACTGAATTTTAAATGTTCATTAATTTAAATGTAAATAGGCACATATGGCTCTAGTTACAATATCAGACAGAGCAGGTCCAAACCTTCAAACTCAGCATTCAAGGCCCTCTGCACATGGCCAGTGCACTTTCCAGCCCCCTCTCGTTGCTTCCAGCACCTTCCCTGGCTCTCTCTGGTTAGGGAATAGCCCTGCTTGTGGGACCTTCGGGGGCGGGGAGCAGCATTTCTTCCCCCTCTGCCTGGAATTTCTCCTTTCATTCTGGATTCATTAAAGTCCAAGTGAAAGGCCACCTCTTCCAAGAAGTTGGCCAGAAGCAGCTTGTCTTCCCAGCCCCTGCCTCTCTCCGGGGGAACCTGCAGGGATCTGGGCTGCTGTTTGGCACCCTGCTGCCTGGTGGCTGAGTATCTCAGGCAAGGGTTAGTCTCTCCCTTTCTCGCACCAGGAGACAGAGGCTTCGAGAAAAGGAAGAACGAGCTTGGAAGAGGCAGCACTGGCTCTGAACTGAGTTGCGTGGCTTGCCTCTGCCCCCAGGACCTCTGAAGCCACTGTGGGAATGTTCTGCAGTCCCGTGGAGAGCTGGGGTAGCCGCCTGCTTCCCAGGTCAAAGCACCCGAAGAGCTCTATCCATCAAAGACCCAGGACACGACCTGTGCCCCCATACGGCTTTAGTTGCTGCCTTGGAAGAGGAAGGGTTTGGGATTACATCAGGGCTCTCTTTGTGTCATGGACCTGTTGGCCATCCAATAAGGTCCGTGGGCCCTCCACAGATTATGGTTTTTATAGGAATAAATTACACAAGATTAGAGAGACAACCAGCTATCCTAAAATACAGTTATCCAAACATGAAATAAGGGTGCCTGGGTGGCTCAGTCAGTTAAGCATCTGACTCCTGGTTTTGGCTCAGTTCATGATCTCAGGGTCGTGAGATCAAGCCCCATGTTGGGCTCTGCGCTCAGTGTGGAGTTTGCTTCAGATTCTCTCTCCCTCTCCTTTCCTCTCTCTCTCTGTTTCTCAAATAAATAGAATCTTAACATATATATAAAATAGATTTGGGGCAAAGCAAAACGCACATTTCTTTATCAACCCACTAAACAACAAGATCTAGCAGGAGGTTTGGAACCCATGGTAATTTTTAAGTAGTGATGGTTATTGGCGATACTTGGAAATTTCTGCACAGCAGAGGTAGTTCTGATTTCTTTTGGTGACATTGTCCCAGGCACTTCTGGGGTCCCAGCAAAATGTGGTATACTGACTCTGTTTATAATGGTGATTTTTAACTCCCACAGAAGCTCTTATCCCTTGGGATTTCTGTGCACAGTTCCTGGTCATGGGTAACGCGCGTCTGGGCTAGATGATTGTTGACCTTCTCCCCGAGACACTGACCTTCTCCCATTACTGTGGCTGGGCTTGGGGCCAGCTCCAGACCTCGGCAGCCTTGGACCCTGGATGAAGGTCTCAGCAGGGCAAGAGGAGAGGCCATTTTCCTCAGTGGTCCCCTCCCCACAGATAAGGCAGATGACTAGTAGGTCAACTTCAGACTTGGGCTCCCTTGTTGTTCTAGGAGGTGAGATGGGAAGGAGGAGAGCTTTTCTTCTTACCCTGCTGGTGGAGGGGCAGGTCTGGGACTTTGGATTCATCCTGACTAAGCTACATTCCAACAGTAGAGTCTTAAACAAACCACCTGAGCCCCCTCGAGCTTCTCTTTCCTCTTCTGTAAAGTGGGCAGACGGTCATTTGTGCACCTGTGGTTGGTGTGGAAGGGCAGCGAGATGTTTGAGAAAGGCTTGCAGACTGGTAGGGATTAGGGTGTGAAAGCATGGTTAGTCCCATGTATTTATTCCCTTTAAATCCACCAGAAGTGGCTTTCGTCCTGGATGATGCCTGGGCCTTCCTCTCTGGGATTGATCCAAACCTTGAGACGAGGGCTGGACAATCGGATGTCCTTGCCCTGCACAGGGCAGTTCACATCCTGGTGTTTGGGGCACAAGAGGAGCACTGACTCCATGAGCCCTGAGATTTTCCACGCTGTCTCTTTGAGGATAGCCCTCCTTGGGGCTCCTCATGCACACTGGGCACGATCCTGCCATGGACCTTTGTTGCTCCCGTGCCCGCCCCCTGGAATGTTCTTTCCCCAGAGCTAATGGGGCTCACTCTCTCTCTCCCCTCCTCCTTCCATCTTTGCTCCAAATCTACCCCATAGAAGGGCCGATTCCATACCCTGTCTGGCCCTACGGCCTGCCCCCAGCCTAAGACACAGCCTGGCCTCTCAGGCCCCCTTGCCCTTCCCTGATATCTTCCCACAGCACTCATGACCTCAAAATACAGCGTACCATTTCTTCATGCACTTATTGTTTAAATCCTTACCAGGCAGGTGCCTTTATCTGTTTATCTCCCCAATGCCCAGAACAGGATCTGTACACAGTGGGCATGGAACGTGGGAATGAAGAAATGAACGGATGCGTTCTCACTATTGCCACCCCGATCTCTGAACACCGTCCTCTCTCATCCGGATTATTACCAGCAGCCTCCTGCTTGGTCTCCTGGCTCCCATCCCACCCTCTCCAGTCCGTGTGCCCCCCGCTGCCCCCCACACCCCTTTAAAATGGAAGTTCCACGAGGCCTGATTTCCAGGACTATTTTTCCCACTGGTATATATCCCCCAGTGCCTGAAACAAAGGGAACACTCCAGTACTTGTCGAGTGAATGAAAAGGAAATATTAGTGGACTTGCAGAAACGTCCAGGGGGACTGAGGTGTTGCTGGTGGGGGAAGGGGTTGAGGTTGGATGAGGGACGTGCCCTTACTGAGAACAGAGAGCTCTGGGTTCTGGGCCCCTGGCCCTGTGCCCGCCTTGCTGGCAATCCTACTTGTCTTGATCCTCATGTCCCAGGTACAAATACAGAAGCGTGGCCCACACAAACGGTTTTCACACTTCTCTTTTCATTTTTAATTGATAGAAATCCATTTCTCAAATTTAGGAAAACTCCATAGAAAAACAGCCCAGAGCAGAGAAGCCAGCCATTACATGTTGTTGGGCCACATGGGGGGGGGGGCGGAGGAGACGGGGGGGGGTAATGGGGGACAGTGGGGCTCATGCTGCCTCAAACCATCCTGACAAGGGGTCTGTGTCTCTGAGGGTCCCAGGCCCGTCCCATCTCCTACACGCACCTGGTGTCTTTCTGTGTCCCTTTTCATTTGCTGTCTGTCTCAACTGGACTCCCCCAGGGTCACACAGTCCCCTTCTGAGTCCAAACTGTGCCCTGCTGGCCCCAGCCAGCTTCGGAAGGACTGTACATGGTCCACGGATCCCTCAGCCCCCTGAGAACAGCATTAGGAGAAAACTGGACCCATTATAATTATACGGTAACTGTATGCAATATTCATTTCCCCCATATCACCTACCTAGGAATAGGAAATCAATATAAACAATTTCCTTGTAATGAAAGTCATCAAAAAAAAGATCAGCTCCAGAGAAGAACATTCCAGAAGGTCCCTAAACACAGCCCTCTCTCCCTATGGCCTTGAACAACCGTCCAGTACTAAGTTCTTCTTATGTCTAACCTTAGCTTTGCCTGCCTTGGCTCCACAGTCTCCCGTCTTCCAGAGGCATCCTCTTGGATCACAATGTGGCCAGGAGGCAATTCCCTGAGCTCTACTCTTAATTTGCTGTGTGACTGCAGGCACGTCACCAGCCCTGTCTGAGCCCCAACCAAGTGAGACCCTTTCCCCCAGCTCCCCCACGGCCCCCTCTTGCCTGTCAGCGGCGATAGCGGTCATGGAGTAGATGCTGACGAACATGGCCATGATGGGGAAGAGGTTCTGGAAGTAGCAGAAGGCACGGCCAAAGTACCAGATGTTGTGGCTGGCGTAGATGAAATTGAAGGGGGCGTTGAAGGTGGCCATGCACAGGTCAGCCAGGGCCAGGTTGACAATGAAGTAATTGGTGACTGAGCGCATTCTCTGATGGGCCAGGATGATCCAGATGACTGTGGCATTGCCTGTCACGGCCACCAACACCAGGGCCAGGTAGGCGGTGACCCACAGTGCCAGCTGCCAGCTGGGCATGGAGAAGGCTGTGACGCCTGTGGTGTTGCTCTCAAGGCTGGACGAGATGTTGGCGTCAGTCACAATGACATGGGCCCCCATGGCTGCCCCTGGGTCTGGGACAAGTGGCTTGCCTCCTCGCTCCGCCTGAGCCCTGGTGCCCTGCCCGGATGTGCTACGGAAGAGAAATCCTCTTGGCTGTGGGAGTATGTGGGGTAGAGAGGAGTAAGTGCAAAGCCAGGCACTCGGGGAGACAGGGGTCACTCCCAAGCCTCAAGTGAAGACGAGCTGGCCTGAGCAGAGCATCGGGTCCAGAGCCGTTCACCCTTCAGACTCCCATGTCCTGGCCAGACTTCTCAGACGTCCCATGGAAATCGAGAATCCAAGACACAGTTTCAGAGCAGGGAACATCCTTGTCAATCATCAATCAACCACTTTCCTGCAGAAACGAAGGACAGATTCCAAGAGGGGACGTCCTCAGCCCAGCTCACTCAGTAAGTGGGTGACAAACCAGGACTCCAACCCAGGCTCTTCCATTCTGGAAACGTTCTGGATCAGAAGAGCACACGGCAGCAGCCTTTGGATTCCACAGGTCAACAGCACAGAGGGCTTTCCTCCAGGCTTTGGGGAGCAGGCTGGCCTGCGGTCTGGGACAAGCTCACCATTCTGCTAACTGCCAGCCCTCGGAGCCACGGCCTTCCCTGCTGCTCTCCCCGGCAGGGTGCTGAGGGCCTTGGCAGGGGTTCAGCTCTAGCTCCCGCCCCTCGTCCCACCCCCTGCTTGGATGGCACAGCCTTGACTCTTGAGAAAAGATTTAGGACTGGGTGCCAGAGCGGGGAGAGATCCAGGGGAAAGAGGGGATGGCAGGGGTGGGGGCTGGCATGGAGGCACCATCCTGGGGTGTGGGGGTGCGTGTTTACACTCTTGGCCAGCCCAGGCCAGGGGCTGCATCTAGAAAGTGATCAGGAGCACACGCTGGGAGCTGGGCTGGGGCTGAGACTCCCTGTGTGATTCCAGGTAAGCCTCTTAAGGTTACCGAACTTCAGCTTTGTCATCTGAACAGAGATAGGACACATCAGGGCACATCTCACAGTGTGTTTGTGAGCTTTAAATGAGATAACATACACTGAGCCTAGTTAACATGGGGGCTGGTGCGGAAAAAGCATGACAGGGAGTTGTAGCCCCAGAGGGTACCCGGGAGATGGCTCAGGGTTCGGCAGGTGGGAGAAGACAGAACTCAGAGTGCTTCTGGCAAGTTCTTGGGACAAGGAGGGGGCCTGCTGCCTCTTCTGTGAACCCCAGAAAGGCCAGAGGGCTGCGCAGGAGTCTGCTCTTGGTGATCCTCTCTGTGCCTGGGGTGGGGGGGGGGAGCAGGAGACCACGTGACGCTGGCACATGATGCTGCCACGTGATGCTGTGTCTGAGCCACGGTGGGTGGCTGACGTGTGGAAGTGCACACACCCAGACATGCGCACCTGTGCACACCTGTGGGGATGTGGCCCCTGAAGGTGGGGGGCAATCTCAGCAGGGCAGGGTGCCGCTCCCATGACAGCAGAAGGGGACTCTCTGTCACCAGCTGGGGCAGACCCATGAGGCTACTGCACCCAGTGTGTGTGGTCTCGGGGGATCCAGCCTTGCCCCTTGAGGGTCCCTGCTCCTCGCATGGGCACCTGCACTGTGGGGCCCTTCCAGCGCCGGGTCCGGACACAAGTGGCTTCAGCCCCAGCCAGGTCAGGGGGCAGAGGCCTGTTCCCTCTCTGGAGCTGGCCACCTACCTCCAGACATCTGTCCCCTCTGGATGGGCCTTTGCTCCCTCTGGCGATGACAGCAGCACCCACGCAGATGCAAGCTTGTTTCTGTCTCCTTTGTCTCTTTGCTGATCTGTCTCTTGCTCTCCGACAGCCAGAATTTGCTGATCCTCAGGGGCAAGCTCAGTGCCAGGCTGGGACCCTGAGAGCACATCATCAGGTCCAGAAGTCCCAAAATAGCACCGGGTCCCCCTCCCGTGACAGCCTGCCACCTTCCATGGATATGGACGGGGATTCAATTTTGGAACTATTAAATCTAAGGGTTTTCATTCGCCCCTAAATCTTGCAGCTTTGCACCTGTGTCCTTGCTTTCTCAGGGCTGACTCGCCGAGTCCATCGCTAGACAAGCGTCTGGAAGGTTAGGCTTTGTGTTCATAGGAAAAGAACTCTAAGGTCCTTTAGCTCCTCTAGATACATGAAGCCTCCAGTTTGCTCATGGAGGTTTGTGTATGGGAAGGACACATGGGGGGAAAGGCTGCCCATGGGTTCTGGCGATCGGCGGAGCTGATTCTGACCTTAGAGGCAGGGGGTTTAGAGGGTGTTAGAGAGCGCTTTGGGAGCTCCCCTGGGGAAGGAAGGGGAGGAAAGCCAGAGTGGGTGGAGGAGGAGCTAAGATGAGATTTGATCCCACCGGTCCGGTTGCTCTGAACTAGAGTGGCCCTTTAGCCTTGCCTTGTGCTGCACAAAGATGGCCAGCCAGCCATCGATGCCTGTAGGCTGCCCTAAGAAGGGGCAGGACCTTGAACAGGGCAGCCCTCTGCAGTCGCGGCAATGGCTGAAGCCAGTGACAGCTGATAGTCTATAGGTAGCATGCCAGAGGCTCGCAGGGGATCTGGGACGCACAGGACCATGTCCCCCATGGTGGAACAGCAGCCTCTTCCATGACATGGGGCGTGTGCACGTGAGTGCTCTGTGGGCTTCATGCTGCCTGGCCCCAGGATGGGGGCTTGACGGCTAGAGGTGGGAAAGGAATTGCTTTCCAGGGGGTCTAGAGGAGAAGAAGGTGAGATGGACAGCTGCGGGGATGAGGGAAGTGGAGGGAACAGAAAAGGGGATTCCAGGAAGTGATGTGGGCTGGGCACCCCGTCAGCGTGTCTGAGAGATGTCACTGGAAGTCATCTTACCATGTCTTCAGCCTAGAGACTGTGCTGGGCTTTGGCCACTTGGTCCACCGCAGGACACTAAGTGCTCGGGTCATGGAGGCAGCCCGGGTTCACCTGGACCAGGCAGAAGGAGGACAGCAATGACAAGGCAGTGAGCTGTTGCTTCAGCTAAGTGAATCCGGTTTGCAAGGCCCGCCTTCATTCCGAGACTAACCCTTCCTGCCTCGGGGCTAAAATATCCTTTCTTGTATGAAATAATGTGACAGCAGATGGCAGGTATAAGGCTTGCTCTCCTTTTTCTCCAAAATTCCTTACTCATTGGAATAAAATCTTGGTGACCTCCACAGTTCCATCGGTTAAGTTTCTGATCTTCTTCTCAGTCCGTGGAATTCAAAGAGGATCCCCAACCTAGTTCCTTATTGGGAGAAGAGGCTGGGAGCCCCGAGAGGAGAGGAACTGCCCCAGACCCCATTGTCTGGGAGGTGGGTTCCCAACCCTGATCGCCTCTGTCTGACACAGTCTCCACTGGCCTGCCTGCCTCCTCTCTCTCAAGGCCTGTGGTCAGCTCCTTGTCACATGGGTGGCCTGGATTTTGTCTTACGTCCAGTGTCTAGGAGAGGGGCCAGCACGTTGTAGGGGCCCTATAAGTGTTAGTTGAATGAAAATGATGAGTTACATTTAAAATATGACTCAGGGATGAGGGCTGAGGAATTCTTCCTATCTATCTATCTATCTATCTATCATCAATATCTAGCATATACAGACAAGGTATGAAAGCCTTACACCAATGGGATGAACACTCATGTGGGCTTTGAGACAATGTGGAATGGGTGGGATGGTGTAACATTTAGCAGTTAGCACCAAGTGGGTGCTCCACAAACAGCAGGTGAATTAATGAAGGATGAATAGCAAAAAAAAGTTTAAAATATCACTGTGTTGGGGGTGAAGGGAGTAACGTTCTTATTTGCACAGGATCTAAAACTTCAAAAGGAAAGAACATGTCTTCGTAGCTCAGTAGGGACTTGGGAGGACATCGGGGTCTTCATAGGACTTATTCTTCATGGAGAGCTACCCTTTGTCCAGAAAGCAGAGGGGCCCAGGCTGGCCCCTGTGGGAGAGGAGCTCTGTACCTGCTGCTCCCTGGCCTGCTCATCGGTGGCCTGGAATCCGGGACTTCGCTGGGAGAGCCGGCCTGTGCCAAGAGCATGAGCTGGGGCTGACACTTTTTTTAAACACTGTGAATGTGCTGGGGCAGTGCCTTGTCCTGAAAGCCTGAAGTTTATCTAGCTGGGGAAGACAGGCTGCCAGTGTTTACATCTGCCTTGGTCCTGGCATACACAGAGCTCAGAGGCTCTTAACACAAAACGAGGCCATCTGTCCACATCAAGCTCCAGCAAAATCTGCCCATCTATGGTAGGTGGAGGAGGAAGTAGGCAAGGCTCGTCCTAGGAGGGGACATCACAACACCCACCTGCTGGTGTGACAGCAGGATCACCCCAGAGGGAGCCTAGGTCTTACAGACGGGGTGTTGGCACGTGTGGCGGCAAGTGTGGGAGCAGGGATGAGGTGAGGAGAGGCTGGCAGAGGTCTCTCGATCAGGCAGGGGCTCACCAATGATCAGCCCAGGGTTAGGAGAAAGGGTCATGTCTCCACCTTCATGAAGCTCCTGGCCAACCTGGGGAGACAAGTCCCAGCGGAACCAGATAACTCACCCTACCCGTCTGTTAAATGGGTGACACCATGAACTTCAAGCTTCAGAAAAAGAAGGGAGAGGACTTTGGGGGGTGCAGGGAGTGAGGGGGTGCTGCCCCTCGAATGGTCCTTGGAAGTAATGAAGGTTGGGACATGAATGAACCCCCATTTGGACAGAAAGGTCAGACTGGCCTGGCTGGAGTCCAGGGTTCTGACAGAAAGGACTAGGAGATAGATTAAGCCTAAATCTCAGTTCACACAGTGAACTAAATCACAGTTCACACAGTGCCAGAAAGGTCCCATTTCCTCATTCTCTCATTCTCTAAAAACTCTCTGGCAGGGAAATCCAGTTTTATTTCTTCTGGGGCCCCCGTCCCCCCTACCCTGGGGCTGTCTATAGTGCCAGGGCATCTGGGGTGCGACCATTTTTGGCCATTCATGCACACATGTCACTCTGGAGAGGCCTCTTCTTGTTTCTTCTTGTTTCTGCAGGGTCCTT